GATAGAAGAGTTATGTTCTAATTTCAAAAAAATACTTGTTTCTCAACAGCTTTGAAATATCAGTCTTTCTTCAAACTCTTGCCATGATACACAGCATTGAGATGATCAATAATTCAACACTATTATCTGGAGTCAAATTGGGGTATGAAATCTACGACACTTGTACAGAAGTCACAGTGGCAATGGCAGCTGCTCTGAGGTTTCTTTCTAAATTCAACTGCTCCAGAGAAACTGTGGAGTTTCAGTGTGACTATTCCAGCTACATACCAAGGGTTAAGGCTGTTATAGGCTCTGGCTACTCAGAAATAACGATGGCTGTCTCCAGAATGTTGAATTTACAGCTCATGCCACAGGTAAGTTTTGTTCTATCTGAGGAAAGTAGTTAGGGAGTTGCTTTTACTTTAACCTTTCTTTCCCTTCAATTATAGAAAGGATATACTCTCATTACAGATTGCATGGCAGAAAAGTACTAAGGGAGTGGTCACCTATCAGTCTGTTAGGTCCAGTCTGACACTGTTCAGCTTGATTTGGATAAGACACAAACCTCTAAGGGCCTCAACTGCCTTGTTTCTGAAATAACATCAGTTCAGGTGCTATGGAGAAAACTAAAGAGAGTAAGGGGTATAGGGATCAAGGAAGACTTCTCAAGGGATGACGGCCTTAAACTTGAACAAGAAGGGATGCTAAGGGAAGATGAGGGAGGGGAGGAGAGTATCTGGCAGAGAAAGCAGCAAGTGCACAGTTGGAATGTCCAATGAATAACAAAAAGGTCAACCTGGCTAGATCAGTTTGAGCAGAAAGGAGCAGAGTAAGAAATGTATTTGTACAGAAAAGCAAATACCAGGTCATATAGCATCTTGTAAGCCATAGTACAGTTTGCATTTTGTTCTAAGTATGATGGGAAGACTTTGAGCAGAGACTGTAGAGCTACTTATCTTCCTGGAATGTAAGCCAATAATAAGAAATTAAGCAAAAAGACCTCTGAAAATCCAAAACAGATATTAGAGCACCCT